GGGATGCGGGGGGAGGGGCACAAACACGAGAGGACGCCTGCCCTTCCTGGAGCAGCACCGATGCCCAGTTCTGCTACTCTGTTGAAGCAGGGGGTCCCCCGGGGGTGAGGACGACGGAGCCCAACGTGCTGGGGCGTCTGCATGCACGACTCCGGGGACCAGGTTCAGAGACACAGATCCAAGTTTATTGGGGAAGTACAGCCGTATATAAAGGGGTAAGCAGCCAATGCAATAGGGACACACTTGCTATGTTATCCAAAGGGCGTGAGGGTCGGGGCTAAGAGTAGGTGGCTCCTGGAGATTTGTCAGGCGGGCATTGCCACTTTCTGGTGTGCCAAGGAAGTCTGTTCGCTGGAGTGTACTCACAGCGTTGCTTCGGCCGCAGCACTGAGATAGATCTCCTGAGCTCTTCCCACACTCTGTGCTTTACAGCACTGGGCATGACACCATGCGCTGCCCCACACCCACTAGCGTTGGAACAGGACTGGTCTCTAATCCCTGTGTGACACATGAGGATGCTGCGGTCCACAGTGTTAAAACCTGTTACAGCTTAATTACAAGGGTCACATCTGGACTCGGGTTCAAGTTCAGAGCCCTCTTTAAAGAACCTCAGGCTGCCCTCGCTGGTTCGGCTCAGTGGATAGAGCGTTGGCCTGCAGACTGAAGGGTCCCAGGTTCGATTCCGGTCACATGCCTGGGTTGCAGGCTCGATCCCCAGTGGGGGGCATGCAGGAGGCAGCCAATCAATGGTCTCTCTCATCATTGATGTTTTTCTCTCTCTCTCTCCCTCTCCCTGCCTCTCTGAAATTAAAATAAAGAACCTCAGGCAAAAGCTTTGGTAAATACTCTCAGCGTGGCACCCGCAGCCTGCTCTCTCCTGTTTCTGGGCACCCACACACACACCATGGGTCTGAATCTACCTGAGACCCCACCACCACTGTCCTGAAGGAAAGGGATCTGTGCTTCTCCACATCCCCATCCCCCAGGGCCTCTGAAATCTGCCAACCAGAAGTACAGGTGAAGGACAATCGTGTAAAATAGGCACAGGCTGGAGAGCTCCTGTGGACAGCCCCAGGCAGTACAAGAGGGGTTTGCAGTCCTGCTGGTTCATAGGCGAGAACAGCGTCCTCGGGCCATTTCTGAACAACATCTTAACCTGGGCTGGGTGGCCCTCAGGCCCTGGCTCCAGCCTCAGGTCACAGGCTGCCCTCTTTCCTGGGAGATGGAGAGATGTGTGCGGACCATCCCAAGCTGATCCCTGCCAAGCAATCCCTGTGGGAGGCAACCAATAGATGTCTCTCTCACATCTCTCTCTCCCCTTCCACTCTCTAAAAAAAAAAAAAAAAAAAAAAATGGGAAAAATATCCTTGGGTGAGGATTAACAACAACAACAAAAACATGCTTGGAGAATGGAGAATGAGCATGTTTAAAATGTATATGTGCAAGCACATGTGTATACACACACCCCCGTGGGCATGTATGTATATGTATGTCTGCCTACACATATGGAAAACAGTGGCAATTCTTGTGAGTGGGATAAAGGTGTTGCCAATAGTTACTGGGGCCGGAGCTGTTGGTTTGTTAACAAACTCTACAATGATTCTTCAGAAATGTGCCTCGTCCAAAAAATTCAGCAGACCCAGGAGTGAGAGGCTTCGGGCACCTGAGGGATGAGACATTCGCCCAAGCTACTGCCACCGGCAACCCCAAGGTGTTTCCGTAAAGGGCTCAGGCTATGAATCTATAACTTGATCTTTGGGCTTGTGGCCATCCTGGGGCATCTGGGTGCCACCACGGGGAACATCTAACAGGACAGCACTTTATTTTAGTGGCAGTTTTTACGCTGGCAAAACAGCGAGACAACCTGTACGTACACTTTTCTTTTTAGTCAAAGAGTAAATAGTAATAGCCATCCGGTGCTAAGATGCCTAAGGTATGTAAAGCTGTTCTGGGCTAAACCTCCACATTTTGGGAGAGAGAAGAGTTGGCCGCTTGCCCAAGGTTCCTTTGGTGAAGTGGAACTAAAGTTATCCTCAGCTTGAACACGCTGGCTGCGGTCCTGAAAATTCCCCGAGGTTTACAATTAACCACACATCTCCAAAGGCCAGCCTGAGCCCAGCTCTCAGACTGTCGAACGCTGCTGAACACCCACTCGGTGTGTGCACAGGCGATGCCCAGCAAGGAGATATGACCCATCGCCCACCCGCCCCCTGCCCCGGGATCCAGGCATGCCTGAGGCAGCGATGGAAGGAATTCAGCCTGTGGCTGAACCACTTTATCTCAGCATCCAGATGGGAGGCTCCCCCACCCCCACCCACAGAGCCTTGCTCTTTTTACTAACGAATCACACATCACTCCAGTTGGGCCAATCATGGTAAAGAACAGTGGAGCCGGTCTGTCTATTGGAGCAGTGCTCCCTAATCTCTCGTGGGCACAGGTGTCCTGGGGCCTGCCTCCGTTGTCTGATGGGGCCTGAGGTTTATCTGTTTAGGCTCTCGGCTCGGCCGGTGGGAGACAGGTCGATGCGGAGGCTGGAAAGGCCATGAGGGGCTGTGGCCGCTGAGGGTCTTGGCAAAAACAGGAGAGAACCTGTAGGGCAGTGCCCACCGGAAGCTGCAGCAGATTAACACACGTCAGTGTGCTGCACCCAAAGGTCAACCTGAGTAGTTTTATCATCTTTGGCGAATTTTACCACCTTTGGTGATAAATCCCAAGTTCAAACAACAGGAAACTAGAGGGGCCCAGTGCTCTCCCCTCCCTGCTCAGTCACCTGAGTGGCAGGAGAGGAACTGCTGTTCTCAGGCCCCTGGGTCTGGACCTGCTTCTCTGACCCTTCCTGCCACCACATTCCCTCATCCCATCACCCCAGTCACAGGCACCTTCTCTCTGTTCCCGGGGACCTACGCTGAATAAGGACCCCAGGGTTCTGAATTGGCCTGGGAAGTTCTTACCCCATTCTTCTCATGGCCGCTTCTTCTTTTAAAAAAAAAAATATGTTTATTGCTTTCAGAGAGGAAGGGAGAGGGAGAGAGAGATAGAAACATGCCTCCGTTGTCTGATGGGGCCTGAGGTTTATCTGTTTAGGCTCTCGGCTCGGCCGGTGGGAGACAGGTCGATGCGGAGGCTGGAAAGGCCATGAGGGGCTGTGGCCGCTGAGGGTCTTGGCAAAAACAGGAGAGAACCTGTAGGGCAGTGCCCACCGGAAGCTGCAGCAGATTAACACACGTCAGTGTGCTGCACCCAAAGGTCAACCTGAGTAGTTTTATCATCTTTGGCGAATTTTACCACCTTTGGTGATAAATCCCAAGTTCAAACAACAGGAAACTAGAGGGGCCCAGTGCTCTCCCCTCCCTGCTCAGTCACCTGAGTGGCAGGAGAGGAACTGCTGTTCTCAGGCCCCTGGGTCTGGACCTGCTTCTCTGACCCTTCCTGCCACCACATTCCCTCATCCCATCACCCCAGTCACAGGCACCTTCTCTCTGTTCCCGGGGACCTACGCTGAATAAGGACCCCAGGGTTCTGAATTGGCCTGGGAAGTTCTTACCCCATTCTTCTCATGGCCGCTTCTTCTTTTAAAAAAAAATATGTTTATTGCTTTCAGAGAGGAAGGGAGAGGGAGAGAGAGATCGAAACATCAATGATGAGAGAGAATCATCGGTCTGCTGCCTCCTGCATGCCCCCGACTGGGGATCGAGCCCGCAACCCGAGCATGTGCCCTGACCAGGAATCAAACCGTGACCTCCTGGTTCACGCTGTAAACACTGAGCCATGCCAGTCGGGCATGGCTGCTGCTTCTCATCAAGAGACCTCAGCTTAAATGTCACCTCCTCAGACACGCCCAGCCACCCTGCTCTGTGCTTGGGGACTGTGTGGTACAGTGGCACACGATGAAACGTGCTGAATGATTGCACATAAAAAGCTGTAAGACACCCACCAGGAGCATCATCGTGCTCGTGACTCCTTGATGGGGAGTGAGGGTGGTTGTGAAGGACACACAACTTAGTGTCTGAGAAAGTACTGTACAGGGAACCCGAGGGACCTCAAGGCTTTAGCAAAAGGAGACTTACCCCGGGGAAAGGAGACCCAGTGCCCTGCAGTGACGGACAAAGACCCCAGGCAAGGCTGTCCCCACAGGAGGCAGCTCGGTCAGGAGGCCAGTACTCTTCCTGGACAGCGGGTTTGTTCAAACTCCTCAACACACACACAATATCCAGGAGGGTGTGTGGCACTTAGAATATGTGAAGAATTTAAGGAGTCAAAGAATACAAATGCCAGGTGTATCCCCTCTTTAAAAGACTTGATTTTATTTTTGGTCCCACTCTGACAAGCGCACTGAGAGTAATTATAATAATTATGTCAGCGTGTGTTTCATTCAGCTCGCGTTCATGCTCACTTTTCCTGGGATGCGAGAACATACCCATTGTTCCTTCATATTCAGACAACCAGGATGCCTGCCCAGGACCAGACACACACTCACAGAACTGTGCCAACAGCCTCCCAGTGCCCTGAACATTCATCATCGTTGTTCCCAAAGAACCAGTTCCTTCTACGGGAATCTGAAGACGATGAGTATTGCCAAGTGAACAGGAAGGCCAGGCCTCCTCCAAACGGGCCAATTCTGGAAAACACTTCAGCAGAGACACCTGGCACCAGCGTCTGCAGCAGACACAGAGGCCCAGGAGACCCGTGGGGGGTGGGGGGCACCGAGATGCCCGCTGTCAGGGAGCACACAGTACCTGTAGGTGATCCTCACTTCAGTTCCGGGTTCATCTCGCTCCCAGATCAAAGCAACACTCTCTGGGGACTTCTGAACATGCCGATCCAAGCAGTTGACTGCACAAAAACAGGTTAACAAACATTAGACTCGGTGTTCTTAGAGTTTGAATCGGGGGTGGGGGGGGGTCTGGTTCGCTGTGACCTGCACTACTCTCTGATGAGGTGGACCCTTCCCTCATCAAAGGGGAGGTATCTACTTCCTTGCAAGGAGAAGGGTGATTGTCAGAGCCTGGGAAAACAAGACAATAACTACCCAAATTTGATCTCACAGGTTCAGGGTGAGCCCCTGTGGACAATCTGAGGCAGGTACTTCACACCAGTAGTCTCAAGCCCAGCCACACATTGGTGTGACCTGGGCCTCCCCCAGGGACCCTGACCCAATTGACCTTGTGGTTTCAAGGCTCCCTGGGTGGTGCTAATGTGCAGCTGGGGCTGAGCGCCACAGCCTGAGCTGTTGGAAAGAATATTTCATGCAAATAGGATGCTCCTGATGCAATACAAGGTTCATGCCAGGGGCTCTCGCGTGTGGTAGAGATGCACACAGTCCAGGCCAAGGAGCCACATTCCTTCTCAGGTATCCAGCCAGCACCCTAAAACCTAAAACCAGCCTCTGCTCCAAGGAGTGTTGCAATGATGGGGAAATGCAATGCTGGTTTTCCGGAAGGCTCCCCTCCACCCCCCTTCTTACTCAAGCTCAGGTCACATGACTTCCCATAAAAAGAAGAGGTCAGTTCATCCGGTGTATTGTAAACTGAAGATTAGTAAAATCATGTTCATTTGCTGACATCCTGTTCAAGGTGAGCTTAACTGTGGCTGGTAATGCCAGCCTTCGAAGCCGGCCTTTCATTGTTCACCTCCCCATCAGCAGGGGAAATGAACATCACAAATAGCTGTTGGGGGTAGCGGCCATCTGCCCACCTGCTCTTCAGGTCACCCCAATGTCCAGACATATAAATTTGTGTGTTTTTTCTCTTCGGGGCAGTTACGTATCTTCTTCAAATCAATCTCCTCCTACATAACTGGGAGCTGCATTATCTATTATCTCTAACTCAAGAGGCCATGACCAGAAACAAATGAAATACTGAACGTTAAAGTACCGTTATATAAATACAAGGTTCTATATTGCCAACTGATAAATACCATACTATGAGTTAGAGACTTTTAAATGGGATAACCGTTCTGACAAAAGTTATGGGAGATACCAAAAGATCTTATGATTCCTATAGTTCTTGAGAGGGTGAACTCACGTGAAAATATTACATAGTTTAGTGTGTGTGTGTGTGTGTGTGTGTGTGTGTGTGTGAATTACATTTTTCCCTCTTGGGTTATTTTATTCTTATAATAAAAAAAATCATTTCAATTTCCTGGCTCATAACAGGATAAAAATTATACGTCAAAAAATTTTAAATATGAGGTAGATATCATGGAAAAAGTTGCTAATACTACTTACTGATGCAGAAAAGTTATTTGAATTATTAGAAAAGTAGAAGAGAAAACATGCCCCCTCCCCCCAAAAAAAAACAGAAAAGAGGAAAAACAAGATGAGAAACTAAGAAGAAGGGGCTTGGTGGTAGAACCTGGATTTATACAATAAGCCCAAATCAATGTGTGTGTGTGTGTGTGTGTGAGAGAGAGAGAGAGAGAGAGAGAGAGAGAGAGAGAATGGTCTGAAGTTCATATATCAAATTTTCCCACTAAAGCTAGGGATCTCTGACTTCTCTTGAACAATCAGCAGATGAGGACACACTCTCCCCTGGGAGCTAAGGTGGGAGCCACGCCTCAGCCGGCGCTTCCTGTCCCCCCTCCACTGCCTGGCCCTGATGGAGTGGGAAGCAGTGACCCTAAACAGGTCATGACAAGCCTTGGATGCCCAGCTCCTTGAACTGAGGACAGATGTTGAGAAAGGGCTGGAGGGGAAACAGGGTGAGTTAAAGCTGCGCACTGAGCAGGAGTCTGGCAGCAGGGCGCTGCTTCCATGTGCACATGAGTGTTTGTTGGACCCTGGCTGCTCCAGGCATCCCAGATGCAATCCCTTAACCCCACCCAGATCAGTGCTGAGAAGACTCCAGGTGACAGGTGTGCACTCTTATCCGAGAAATCTGCTCCAACACACTTTCTCCCGCCCTGAGGTGGACCTTCTGAGTCACCCTGGAAAGTGGCCAGCTCAGATACAGCTTAGGAAACAGTCTACCCAAGGCCGAGCCAGGAAGCAATAGGAAGGGCCTCGAAACACAAGTAACACCTTACCTGGGGCTCATATACCCACATCACCTGCTCCCACAGCAGTCAGGGTGCCAACACATGACTGCCCAACTTCGAACCTAGACCCTCAGTGCCACGGAGCCAAGCAGGAAGGCAGAGGTGCAGAAGGTGGAGGGGAAAGACTTGCCCCATGATGGACAGCACCCAGAATGTTGCTGACTGGCCAGCAAGACCAGCGCTGTGGCCACCTCTTCCCAGGGCTGACAAACAGCAGGAATTCAGGCAGGTAGGCACTGAGCCCAGGTGCAGTGTCCCTAGGTACCTTCCTTGAACATGGGAGGTGCTGGACAAGTGGCCACCAAGACCCTGAGTGATCGACCTCTCCCTATGGCAGTGCCGATTCTGGTGAGCACCTTCCAGCCTCGGGACCTTTCTGTGGCACACACTCCTTCACCTACTGCCCACTCTCCTGCAGGTCCTGACCTACACATTCTCACTGTCTCAGTGAGCACTTCACGTCCCGGGGACCTCTAACTCGCTTGAGGCTTTTGCACATGCTGTCCCTCTGTGGGCAGGGGCCAGATGTCCTGTTCATATTTTCACACATGCAGCCTAAGCCGGAGCACAGAGCAGAGAAGCACCTCAGCTCCAGATGGTGGACAGACCATTCAAGTCCTTGAGCTAAAGAACAACGATGGAGTCTAAATGGCATGAGGCTAGCCCCATGCCCAGGGGAGGGAACAGACCTCTTCCTGTCTTCATGGCTTTGTTCCTCAAGAAGTTCTCTTGTTGGACTCAGTCAGCACTTCCAAATCCCCCAGAACCTCCAAAGGGCTTCTTAGCACACACATTATGACCCCACAACTACTGGAAGTCTGAGTGAGCAGATCTGGGCAGCCTGAGATTTCCCCTCTAACAGATCCCAGTGACGCTGTTGCTGCTGGTTCAGGCCCAGGCTCCCATAGACAGACATGCATGGCTACCTCTACACGCATTCTACTTTGTATGTGTATTCCCGATTCCAGGGGGCTTTCTTTTCCCTACGGGGACAGGAGTGATCAAAAACACTGCCAGGGAGATGAAAGGTGGAGACTGCATGCACTTTCTTCCAGCCATGGACCAGATTCACAGCTAAACTACTTGAAAACCAACTGAAGTGTAGCTGATCTGAAATAGTGTTTCTAGGTAGCACCGAAGAAGCCCTGTAGAGACTGGTAAGAGGAGATGCAGAAAGGGAAAGCCCCCCTCAGGCAGGTGTGGCGGCCGACAGGCCAGACAGATATTGTCCCTGAAAAGCTCCCTCCCCTGGGAGTGTGGAGGCTCAACCCCACACAGAGATCCCCAACCCAGAGCAACAGAGACGGGAAGAGCCTATGTAGCATTGGGCAGAGGGATTCAGGGGGATTCTGTCCACCTGGGAGACTCGGACCGCACCTACTGTTAGCAGCCACAGCCAGACAAGTTTGCTCCAGACTCCGACTGCTGGAGAGGTTGTGCGGCTGTGTTTGGGTCCAGTGGAGGGGTCTGCGGCTGCACCCAGCAGTGACTTTGAAGGACCATCTACTTTCTGGAAAAGTATTGGGCAGAGAGCCCCAGTCAGTGACTAATCTGTGTGGCTTGGGGGAAAAGGAACGTCTCTTCCACGTCGAGCACAGGGCCGCAGCCCCTCACCTACCTGTGGAGCCACTTGGTCTGCCCCAGCCTGCTGGCTGGCGGTGCAGGGGAGCAGTGCAGGTCTGGGATTTTAAGCCCATACTACGGGGTTCGGGGCCCAATCAGAGCTGGGAATTTCTGCCCCACTTTGTGGAGACCAGCCGCCCAGATAAATCAGAGTCCTGCACGGGGCTGATTTCCTGGCCCCTCCTCCTTGCTTTGGTGGCACAGAGGAGCTGGGATTTGGGCACTGTATCCCCCAAGGAGGCTTCTGTCAGGGAGACAAACAGGCGAGTGCTGAGCTCTGTGACTACACTGTGGAGTGGCAAGTCGGAGCTTCCTGTGAGTTTCACCTCGCAGACCCAGGAAGGAGAGGCAGTGCCCGTCCTCCACTCCTGCAGGCTGCGGACACCACTCCCAACAGGAGACTGCCTGGTTCAGCCTGTGAAGTTCTGGATATCCCCGCTGGGTCAAGTTCTGTGGGGGATGGAGAGCAGCTCACAGCAGGTCATTCAAAGTGTGAGTCCCCACCTGCAGGCTGGGCCCCAGAGATCTTCAACAGGAGACTCTTGACCTATCCCGCTGAGCCCAGGGTGGTACTGCAGAGGAGACTGCAGACTGTACCCAGCCTGAACCTGAAGTGAGACCCCAGAGGGGGAACTAGAGTTGGAGTCTCTGGCAGAGACTAAAGAGTTTGGCTTGGATTTATCAGAAACAGAGCTCAAACCACACAAGACGCCAATCCAATTAGCCACACAAAATGGCACATCCAAAGGGGAATCCTGGCAGGTTCCAGACCCTGCTGGGAATAATCCCACCTTGGGGGGCAGCCCCTGCACAGCATCTCATTCATGGTGATCAAGGTTTACCTCAATAGACACCCAGCCCAAAAGGTTAATGACTATGCCACTGAGCCCATCAAGACACCTCGAGATGGTACCTGCCCAGCAGTTTGCATGCCAGGGGCGGGGGCGGGGGTGAGCCTCATAGTCAGCCAGCCTGAAGGTCGATCCCACCCACAAATGGACCAACATCAATCAAGACCCAATTATAATAGGAGGGCCCAAATAACTCACACAAGAGACATTCCTAGAGCACCCAGCTCAGGAGATCAAGGAGACTGAACCACTGGGTCCCACAGGACACCTACTACAGAAGGCCACCCCACGAAGACTGGTAGTCATTGCAGTCCTATCTAATACACAGAATCAAACACAAAAAGAAAGCCAAAATGGGGAGACAAAGAATCAGGCCCCAAATGAAATAATAGGAGGAATCTCCAGTAAAGGAGCTAAATGAAATGGAGGCAAGCAATTTATCAGAAAAAGAGCTCAAAGTAACTGTTATAAGGATATTCAAAAGCATAAAAAATAACATAGAAACCATAATAAGTAATAGGTCGAAAATGAAAAATGTCGTATCTGAAATACAGAATAGACTGGAAAGAATAATTAGTAGGCTGAACAAAGCAGAGAGTTGGTCAGTGAATTAGAAGACAAGATAGAAAATAAGTCACTCCATCCGAGCAGCAAAAGAAAGAAAGAATTAAAAAGCAAGAGGCTGGTTTAAGGATAATTTGGCACAATGTGAAATGTAACAACATCTATAGAGATACCAGAGGGAGAAGGAAGTGAGCAAGTGATAGAGAACCTCTTTCAAAAATCCAGAGCCCATTTTTAGAGAAAAACTCTCAGCAAAGTGGGAACAGAGGGATTATACTTGAACATAATAAAGGCCCCAAATAGCCTTAGCAATCTTGAGAAAGAAGAACAAAGTTGGAGGGATCGCAATACTAGGTATCAAACTATACTACAAGGCCACTGTCATCAATACAGCCTAGTACTGGTACAAGAACAGGCACATAGATTAATGGAACAGAACAGAGACTGTTCAGAAATTGACCCATGCCATTATGATCAATTAATACTTGACAAAGTAGGCAAAAGCATACAATGGAATAAAGACAGTCTCTTCAATAAATGGTGTTGGGAAAACTGGACAGGTACATGCAAAAAAATGAAACTAGACCACCAACTTACACCATATACAAGAATATACTCAAAATGGATAAGCAACTTAAATATAATTTGCAAAACCATAAAAATCCGAGAAGAAAATAGGCAGCAAAATCTCAGATATCTCATGTAGCAGTATTTTTGCCAATACACCTCCTAGGGCCAGAAAAACAAAGGAAAGAATAAACAAATGGGGCTACATCAAACTAAAAATGTTCTGCACAGCAAAAGAAACAATCAACAAGATGAAAAGGGGACCCACTATATGGGATAACATATTTGCCAACAATACATCTGATAAGGGATTAATTTCTAAAATATATAAAGAACTTGTATAACTCAACAATCCAATTAAGAAATAGGCAAAGGACCTGAATAGACACTTCTCCAAAGAGGACATAATAGATGGCCAAGAGACACATGAAAAAATGCTCAACATCACTAATCACCAGAGATATGTAAATTAAAACTACAATGAGGTATCACCTCACACCTGTCAGAATGGCCACCAGCAACAAATCAACAAACAACAAGTGCTGGCAAGGATGTGGAGAAAAGGAAACCTAGTACACTGCTAGTGGGAATGCAGACTGGTGCAGCCACTGTGGAAAACAGTATGGAGTTTCCTCAAAAAATTAAAAATGGAACTGCCATTTGACCCAGTGACTTCATGTCTGGGAATATATCCTAAGAATCCTGAAATACCAATCAGAAAGAATATATGCACCCCTATGTTCATAGCAGCATTATTTACAATACCTAAGATCTGGAAACAGTCCCAAGTGCCCATCAGTAAATGAGTGGATAAAAAAGCTGTGGTACATTTACACAATGGAATACTATACAGCTATAAAAATGAAGGATCTTTCTGTTACCCTGTGTAACAGCATCGATGGACCTGGAGATGATTATGCTAAGCAAAATAAGCCAGTCAGGGAAAGACAAATATCACATGATCTCACTTATATGTGGAATCTAAAGAAAAAAGTAAACTGGTGAACAAAATAGGCCCGGAGGTATGGATGCCCAAATGCCCACCAGTAGATGAGTGGGTAAAAAAGCTGTGGTACATTTCCAAAATAAATACTACCTGGCTGTAAAAAAGAAGGAACTCTTATCCTGGCAGGTGCTTCTCAGTGGTTAAAGCTTTGGCCCGCACACAGAAGGGTTATGGGTTTGATTCCCAGTCAAGGCACATACCTGGGTTGCAGATTCTTTCCTTAGCCCCCGGTTGGAATGTGTAGGAGGCAACCAATCGATTTGTCTCTCTCACATCGATGTTTTTCTCTTTCTCTCCCTCTCCCTTCCTCTCTCTCTAAAAATCAATGGGAAAAATATCCTCAAGTGAGGATTAACAAAAAAAAATATAGAAGAAACTCTTCCCTTTGCAACAGCATGGTGAACCTGGATATTAATATGCTAAGCAAAATAAGCCAGTCAAAGAAAGATAAATACCACATGACCTCAGTAATATATATAATCTAATGAACAAAATAAACTGATGAACAAAATGGGTTTAGAGGAGGCACGGATACATGGAGTAGACTGACAGATCTCAGAAGGGAGGGTGGGGAAGGGGATGGGAAAAGATTAACCAAAGTACATTTATGCATATAACGCACAGCCCCTGGACACAGACAATAGTGTGGTGGAGGCCTGGGGTGGGGCAGGGGCTGGTCGAGAGGGGCAAAAGCAGGGAAAATGGTGGACATCTGTAATACTGTCAACAATAAAAATAATAATAAATTTTAAGAAAAAACACTTGCCAGCTCTGTAAGACATCTGCCCTCACCTACATCACAGGTCAAACCCATCCTCCAGAGTCCATCCCTGTCCAAACACTCATTAAGCAGAGAGGACACACTTGTTATTTAATCTAAATGTCACTTTCTTAATCCAAAATGGGGGTAACAGTTCCTAACTCTGGGCGAGACAACAGGAATTAGATGCCACTGGAGAGTTTCCCGTCCCAGGGTCAGATTGTGTGCAGTGTTCCCAGGGACAGGCAGTTTCTCAGCTGCCATGGTTTACACTCATTTGACATGGGCACCTAGAGAAAGCACAGTGCAGGGTCTGAGTGACAGTGGCCCTAAAACACCATGTGATCCATTGGCATTTAACACATATGGATGGTTCCTGCTATTGCTCCAACTTCAGGGAGAAAAGCAAAGAAGGAAGGGAGAGAGCAAGGATAAAGGAAGAAATTCTTACTCCTCCACATTTTAACAAGTGTCTCCACCCATAGAACTGAGCAGTGGGACAAGAAAATTCCGCTTACAAGCATTGCCAGGAAGAGTTGGGCAAGACCCTAATGCAATTTAAGACTCAGCTCAAACCCCACCTCCTAACTCAAATTTCCCAGCAATGATCTCTCTTTCTCTCCATCACGCAGTGGCCCACACCATTTAACACTTAGTTATTCTGCCCAGTGCTCCCATTCTGGGACACAACGCTGGCTCTGCTAAACTCCCCTCAGTCTAATTCACAAGGTCCCTAAGATTCACATATCATGGGGGCTGACATCATAATTCTTCCCTTAGCAACTGTAAATGCCTTGAGGAAGTTACCCTAGAGTGGATTTGCTCATTTACTGATCTATGATTCACGTCCTCATGAGAATGCACTCTGTGGCACTGGGGCATTTTCTGCACTGCTCATCACTGTACATGAGTTGGAACCTTTATTTCCACATCTGTACAATGGGACCACCAACCACTTCACACTGCTGTCATGACAATGAGATGAGAAGAGGCTCCATCATGTTCACCTCAAGGCAGGTCTACCATTGAACCTAACAGCTCTGCAAATAGTTCAGCAAATGACTGCTGATGGTTCATAGGTTTGGGTTTTTGTTTTTTGTCTTTTAAAGAAAAGAGGTTATAATATCCATTATAAAGATGGCACACGCTTATGCAGGAATTTTCAAGAACTCCTGTCAGTTGTTTAAATACATCCTTCCCCTCCCCAACTTGAAGTAAACCCACACACAGAAATTCTATTTTAATCAAAAGAAACAAGGGAGCTAATATTCACAAAAGGATTCACAATGGGTTTTCCTTAAATAGAAACTCTCCCTGGCACGAGGTAAGATATTACATCAGTCACAAAAATCGTATCTGCCAACTTTCCAGAAGCATCTGCCCTTTAAAACTACAGGCCTCTGAAAACTACAGAGAAATCAGTCCCTTCTGGAGGACCTTTCTCCTAAGACCTGGGGTCACATTTTCATTTCAAGTTCCTTGGAAGACCTTAGACAAGTTACTTCAATTGCTGAGAAATAAGCAAAGCACCAGGACTATAGTGTCTTGCGATTGTCAGTGTATCCACCTTCTAAATGATTGGAGGCACGTCATAAAGAAAAGTATAGCAAAGTGGTTCCCATTGCTGCAACGAATGTCCCCAGAAGCACCCAGAAATCTCTGTGTTCAATGCTTGGTTAAAAATAGTTTCTCTATACCCTTGCTTGAAAGTAAGAATACACACACTTAAAAAAAAATCAGACTCAGAATTTGGTATTTAGGAGAGAGAGTACGGTTGTGTTTTTGTTTTGTTTTTTAATATATTTTATTGGGAAGGGAGAGGGACAGAGAGCTAGAAACATCGATGAGAGAGAAACATTGACCAGCCACCCCCTGCACACCCTCCACCGGGGACGCGCCCGCAACCAAACGGTTGTGTGTTTTGAAAGCAACATACGCGATTACCCTCCAGTTCTGCATCTGCACCTTCCTGACATCTTGAGTCTACACACCACAGAGCAAAACATCAGTTGAGCCGTGTGGAGGACAGAGCCAAATTTCAAAGTCTGGGAAGAATCCTTTTTAGATCTTTGGAGCCCTGCTGACCACCTGCATACCCTCCTGACTCATTTCCAGCCTCATCCAGACTGATGAGACGCAAGCGCGTGTGGTCCTGTTCAGAGGAAACACAGCACTCTCAGCAGCACTGCTGAAGGTCAGGCTCAATGTCACAGCCCCCTAGCCACCCCCAGCTCCCTACTCCCACAGGACTCATTAATTAATAACAAAGGCCAGTGATTGGATGTGAGTAAAGACTATGCAGAGAACTTTATAAGTGTTTTCTCATTTAATGCTAACAACAGCCCTGGGTGTCCCCAGGCCATCCACTTCGGGTCAGAAGAAACCTAGCAGCTTCTGCTGTAGTGTCTGTGACCTCTGGTCGATGTCCCCTGGGCCCTGTGTAAGTGGTTTAGGACACAGTTCCAGCTGAGCCAGCCTGAGTCCTCCCAGTCAAGGCCCCAGACTTGTGATGACAGCCTCAGACACAGGTCAATGGGGAGCAGAAGCAAGCCATGCCCATGGGGCCCTGTCCAAAGTCCTGACCCACAGAGCGGTGAGAGTCCTAAAACTCTTGGGGGCGGTTTGATAAGCAACAATAGTAACTAGAACAGAATTCAGACTGTCTTACTGTACAGACAAGGAGATCCGTGTAGAGAACAGTAAGGGGAAAGCAAGGAGGCAGACGCAGGTGGAATTCTCAAGACATACCCAGAACCACTAAGCTGTACTGCACCACCCATCTGCCATTTCTGTTTGCTTGCTAGAGTCATCTCCAGTACACTAATCCCAATTCTGCCCATTTAGAAGTGTCTTGTCTGCCCTACTTTGGGGACTATAGGTCAGTGGTTCTCAACCTTGTATGTCCCTCAGGAGCACCCGGAGAGCTTATAAACACAGATGGCAGAGCGCCACCGTCAGGGTTTTGGATTCCGGGGTTTCGGATAAGGCCCGAGAACTTGCATGTCTAATAAAATTCCCAGGTGCTGCTGGTCTGGGGACCACAGTTGGAGAATTAGTGGTACAGATGTTCCTGAAGGGGTCATGGGAGTTTCAAAAGTGATACTCCTTTGGAATAAGCCATCATTACAGTGACTATCACACAGACAGATCAGCCCAAAGCATACCCACCATTCCACAACTCTCTAGGGGGCTCCCAGAGCAGCTATGGCCTGGCCTGGTCTTTTTCATACCATCGCCTCTGTGGCTTGCAGACACTGTCAACGGGCAGAGATATTCCTGACAGATGAGAGGGTGGACATACACATTCAAGGTGAGAATGCTGCTGAAAACCTGTTTTTCCACAGGGCAGGTTCTGAAGCTCAGTTTCTGGTAAAAATAAGTGAAGGAAAAAGAGGCACTTCTGCTGGCCAACCACAGGTTGAGCCTGACTGAGTGGGGCTCAAGAGGCCCTTCCTGCCTGTCCCAGGAGGTCCATCCCCAGTGACTGATCTGGGAGTGAGAGGCTACAAGTGTGCATGAGCCAACCCTGACCATCCCCAGTGGCCTCGGACCTCCACAGCCCCAGTCGCTTGCACAAGAGCTGCACATTACATGTTCTGCTCTCTCCTGCAAGTGGCTCTCTTCCCTTCAAGGGTAACTCTGCAAACCTACGGGTTTGTTTTGTGCTTCTTTTACCCACTAGTTCAAGGACACTTGCTGCTGACTCAATTTTAAAGAAAACACTTATCTCGTAAGTGATTCATTTTAATTAAACCATCAAAGTAGTATACAAAATGGGGGGGGGAAATCTGGCCCAAAGTTCTTCCCTAAGTTTCTTTGTTTGAAAAATAACTGCAAGAGCCCTAGCTGGTTTGGCTCAGTGGACAGAGTGTTGGCCTGCAGACCAAAGGGTCCCGGGTTCAATTCCGGTCAAAGGGCATGTACCTTGGTTGCAGGCTCCTCCTTGGCCCGGGCCTCGGACCTCCACAGCCCCAGTCGCTTGCACAAGAGCTGCACATTACATGTTCTGCTCTCTCCTGCAAGTGGCTCTCTTCCCTTCAAGGGTAACTCTGCAAACCTACGGGTTTGTTTTGTGCTTCTTTTACCCACTAGTTCAAGGACACTTGCTGCTGACTCAATTTTAAAGAAAACACTTATCTCGTAAGTGATTCATTTTAATTAAACCATCAAAGTAGTATACAAAATGGGGGGGGGAAATCTGGCCCAAAGTTCTTCCCTAAGTTTCTTTGTTTGAAAAATAACTGCAAGAGCCCTAGCTGGTTTGGCTCAGTGGACAGAGTGTTGGCCTGCAGACCAAAGGGTCCCGGGTTCAATTCCGGTCAAAGGGCATGTACCTTGGTTGCAGGCTCCTCCTTGGCCCGGGCCCTGGTCAGGGTGAGTGCAGGAGGCAACCAATCAATGCGTTTCTCTCATATCGATGTTTCTGTCTGCCTTTCCCTCTCTCTCCCACTCTCTCTAAAAGATCAAAGGAAAAATATCCTCAGGTGAGGATTAACAAAAATATATATTGAAAAAAAGAAAAAGAACTGCAAGACACTACCTATCATTGTATGGCTATTTGTAAATATGATAAAATTGCTATTACTTATTGATCACCAATAAGTGCTGGGCCTGTTCCACACCTCCAGCACTCTGTCCTCACAATCAATCTACAAGCGGGCTTACTGTCCCCGGTTTACAAATGAGGCGACAGGCTCAGAGGAGAAGTCACAGGCCCAGTAAATGGTGGAGTTGTGCAAACACCAGACCCTACCCCCGAAGTTCAGGTCTTGGCCAGGACCTGACCCTGCCATTAAGATCTGCATGTCCTCCCCAGAAACATCCCCTAGACCCCACTTCCATCCTCCCTAGCCATGCAGCCCCCTGAGCACCCCAGCTGGCTGTAAATCCCCTCCTCCCCAGGCTACCCACACCCCAGTCTACCCTGCCTGGATGGCCTCCAGTTCCTGGGCCTTCTCTCCTGGCAGCCTCCGGGCACAGTGTACTCCTCCCACCACCCAAATCCCAAATCTGAACTCGACAATACAGTAGTAGATTCAATCTCAGCAGATACCAAAGGACTCAGTGGCTGGTGGTGCTGGTTTCTGGGACCTCAAACAGAACCAGGTCTAAAGCATCCCACAGGCACCGCCAGGGAGCAAGGAGATAAGTGATTCCAGCTGCTGGCCCCTGGGTTCCCTCCTCCCAGGCTACGCGCCACCGCTCGGTTTGTTTACTTGGGCAACATATCTCCCCAGGCCAGTCGCCGGGCGGGCAGCTGGTGGTAACACAGAGTACGGGGAAGTCCCGGCTCCTGTGCACCCGGCACCCACCACCCCAGCCTGCCCCGGGTGTCGCCTGCTGCTCCCCGCGGTTACACTTGAGCGCCCACCATTGGAGGAGGCGGCAGGGCAGGCAGGGCCAGCAGCTGGGCGACCCGAGCTGACAACCGGGGAAGTGGGGGGACGCGGAGTGACAGCGGAGAGGGAGGCTTGG